ACCCAAGTCCGTAATTCTTAATTGTGCTGAATCCTAATGCCCTCATCTAAGGGCCTTGGGATTTTGATGGAGGATCAGCTGGCATGGAAGATAACAACAGTAAAACACGAGGCATTAGGCCTAAGCAGCAGATCAGTGGTCTGCCACGCCATTTTCCTCACTTCCCTTCAGAGCCTTCTCCAGACTCTGTCCTCCTGCCACACTGGCAAGAAAAAGCAATTTTAAAATCCCCTTGTTTATCCCATCTATTTTTTCCTATGAGTGGCTGCTTGCTTGTGTGGAAGGACAAGACTCAAGTATAGCTGGAAAGGGTATAAAGGCAGCAAGGGGAAGAGCTGGGACTGCTGGCAGATGGAGAAAGGACTCTTGGACACATAGCCTTTATCTGCAACACTTCACCTTACCTCTGGTAAACAACAGATGCACTTCTTAAATTAACAGGTCTGGACCTTCATTAACTCATTTATGTACAGCCTCCATCATCCTGGCTCTGCTGCGGTCAGTGCAGGATGGTGCCAGGGGATGGGACCAGCATAAGGTGCTCAATAACTCCACTGCACCCCCAGACCTCCCAGTTCAAGCCTAAACTGGAGTAACTTCTACCCACTGCAAAGCACTAATGAATTCTGCACTGTTCTGCTTTTCCAAATCTACTCACATGGGGAGTATTCCCAAGCATGCAGGTTTCAAGATGCCCACTGTTCATCAGGTTTTACAGTTAGTAACCACCTGAAGTAACGAAGCACCCCCCTCACTTTGTTTTGGTGCTTTTCTTAAGAAAATAATCAAGCTTTTCTCAAATAAGATGCAGTGGAACAAGATGGAAAGTGGGTACTGTCCCTGACATTTCTAAGCACAGCAGATGTACTTAACTGGCTCCTGTTATTTATTTATTTACTTGTGTAGAGAAAAACTGCTTGTTACTGAAGAAACCCAAATGCTGATAAGATGATGAGAGGTTTGCATGCTGGTTGATGGTCTCACTTTCCCTTATCCTGAATGAATACAAGTATCTATAACTAAATATTTCCCTTAGGGTACTGATGACTGAGGTATGTTTATTGCATTGAGTGAATTTATATATATAATCAGCACAATAAACATTATTAAATTGTCTGAGTAAAATCAAAGCATGAAACACACAGTCAGTGCTGAATTCTAATGATGCTGAATGCCCATGATTGCATGGGGAAAGGATCTTAACAAGCCTTGATTTGAGCTTTGGCATCCGCCTCACAAATCACACGAAATGTTCTCTCTTTAATAGTGCTGAATATTGATAAATGTCTCTGCACGGCACAACAGGGAAGTTGGTCTCTATTGGCAATCTTTACCAAAGTGTGTTTTTTCCTTCTCTACACTCAAGGGTTTACCCTGAATGATTTAATTATAATTTTCCTTGTGTAAGACAAATTAAAGAGGAGAGTAGGAGTGTCATGCCAAAGCAGATTATTTATCTCCTTAACAGATTGCTGTGCACCAAACCCCAGAGCTGCTGCTGCTGCTACTTAGAGAAACTGGGCAAAATGTGGGACAAAAGCATAGATGTAATATACATTTAAAGCCCAAATGAATGAAAGCATTAACCCATTATTTATAGCTGGAATTGTTTCATTCCCAGGGAAGCCATATAGACGGAGCATGCAGAAACCAAGCACAGCACCATGGTGTTCCCTGGGAGGGTGCCTCCTGCTTTTGAAAGTATTTTTTGCTTTTTGGACGTCCTGAGTGACTCTGGTCACCCACCTGCCATTTGCTTTCTAGTCATGAAGGAGAAGTGTTTCTGTCACTGGGGCCCCAAGCAGAGCAGCCCCGCAGTGGGCAGTGTCACCAGTGTCACCAGTGTCACCAGAGCTGTGTCCCTGCAGCCTGTGCAGAACCCCAGTCTGGGCTGGCGACGCGTGGGCACGCCAGGCAGCCAATGACTACTGCTCCTGCTATTTTAAACCCCTTGTTTATAACCAGAATGTGTTTTTTTACCCAAGATACAGAGCAGATCTGCTGCTCGCCCGCTGATTCTAACACAGGTGCCTCCTGTCTCGCAGGTCTGGAGCAGCCTCCCAGCCTGACCCGTGGGATCAGGAACCCCCTAAAACACAGCCTGAACTATCCCAGTGACATGTGCCAGAGATGACAGTGATGATAGTAACTCCCACATAACCAACTTGCCTCCTGCAGCCCACTCCTTCTCAAAAGCCCAAGAGAAAGAGGTTGAAAACAGCTTTACAGCACACCCTAAAAGTTAATGTTACCTGTATATGATTATTTATGGCTGCTGGGCAGTCGTTATGATGGCTGTGCTTAACTGTTAGGACACTTACAGATTTTACTATGTGCTTTTTATTGTTGGTTAAATCTAAATAAATAGCTCTTGGTTGTATCCGACCAGAGCTAAAAGCCAGTTGCACAGAAGGTGCAGGAACAAGGGGAAATCCACAAGTCAAAAACCTTCCCTGGCCAGCCCAGGCTGTGACTTATGTGATAGGAGGTGGAAGGGCTGATACCTCCCTAGTGAGCCCTTCCCACAGCCCCACTTGACCTGAGCCTGAGCTAGGGACTGCCTCTGAAAGACTCCTTAAGATTTGTTGTGCTGAACCAGACGGGTACAAGAACACATAAGGATTTCACTCTAATGAATGGTGGGAGCAAACTCATGCTCCTACCAGATCCACGATATTTTCTAGTCTTAAACTATGCAATCAAAAAATTACTACACCCCTGCTCGTGCCTGTGCTCTCTTTTGCAAGCCCACTAAAATTCCACCTTCTGTGAGCTTTCAAACATACATGTGATGGCAGAGCACAGCAACTTTTCCCTCTCTGCTCACTCCCCACCCTGAACTCCCTGTCCGTAGATAAATATCCTTTCAGAAAGGAAACCAGTGCAAAATATCTCACCAAGAGGAGTTTCTGTGTCACATGAAATCCAGGCAGGCACCACGGTGCCTGATGAGACTGCAACAAAACCCTTAAGTGCATCAGAGGCATTCTCCTGCCTGTAGTCTCCTGTTCTACTTATGGATAAACATGTAATTCAATCACTGCAGCAAATGGATGGCATAAAGCCTCCATGTACCAAAGAGAGGCAGGACAAAGCAAAGTCTGTACCTCTCACTCTTTTGTATTCCTAAAGATACCTATTTTGTATTTTGATATTTCAGAGAATTCAAGATATATAAGGAAAGTATAAGGCAAGCTTAATAACACAGCTATTGATTCCAGCACTGAGGATTTAGTCTTCTAAACTAAGACAATCTCAAACAATACCATGGCATGTTTATGCCTTCCTAATTAATCTGGAACTTTACTAATAAAAGCATGTGTATCACCTTGTCTGTAGATCCCAGCTGCCTCCTGGTCACAATTACAGGACTCAGACATGGATTTACAGGTCTGCTCAACACTATACACGGAGAAAATTCTTACTTCAGAACAGATTCCTGTATTTCCACTACATTTCAAACTGAACTGAATCTGTTTCCTGGTTTAGATTGCCATTAGCACACAGCACGTGCCTCTATTCAGTGAAAGAAGATCCATCTTGCTGCATGGGTTTTTACTTTATATACCCGGTAAGAAAAACATAGATAAAAAATTTATTGAAAAGCCATAAACCCATCTTGTTCAGTTCTATATGCAGCAAAAAGGGAATTAATTGTTTAATAAACATCAAATTTTTTTTAGTATCCCATGTAAGTCCTCATGAAAACCACGTCCTTGGTACTTACATGCATTATAAACATATTCACTGATGTTCCCACACACGTCCTTGTAATGGGTATTTAAAGGATGCCTTACACACACAGCACTTCTTCCAACAGTGGGTGTGCTCTCCTTTAAAATCTATCTATTCCCAGCAGCACTATTTTCTTAATATCAGAGAGATATAAGAGGTATTTATATAGCTTCCCTATCAATCTACTTTCAGACCACCAGAAATACAAACTCTATGGCTTAAAAATTCCATTATCCTCTTTCTAATGAATGAAAGGAGGACGGACAGACAAAGCCATCAGTTTCCATAAAATCCACCTTTCACTAGTGTCTGCTGTAACATTTCTGGATGGGCAAAGGGACTCTCCTGAATGCAAAGGAGCACTGCCCTCCCCACTGCACCCACTCCTCGAGACCCTTCCTCCTCCTCCTCCTCCTCCTCCTCCTCCTCCGGCAGCGACGCCGAGGCTGCAGCCGGCGCAGGCACCCACGGCCCCGGCGCCTGGGCCTGTCTATCTCCCCAGAAGCAAAAGTTACGTTGTTAGACACGCCTCAGTGAAATCTGGGGGTGTAAAGAAACAAACCTGCAATAAAGCATCCTCCGGAATAAAGCAGAGCCCGCGCCGAGAAGCACGTCAACAGACAACCCCTGATTTAAGCCATTTCTTTCAACAATGCAAGCTGAGCAAGTATAAATTAACTCACACTTTTAAAAGCCAAACAACACCAGTTAGCTAATTTTATCAGCACTTAAAGAAAAAAAAAAAAAAGAAGCCACTTTGTTTTAGAGAAACCTGGTAAACTCAAGCTTACCGTGCCTTGTGAAAGCAGGTAATACAGAGTAGAAAAAACCAAATATGTTAGATGAGATAGGGCACTAAAATTTGGTAGAAAAATGGGGACTGTACTGACCAACACATTTCCTTGCTCACCTCCAGCCTGCAAACCCAAAACACAGGAGTACCACCACCACCTGTGATGCAAAACTCAAAAAAAAAAACAAAAAACAAACCCAGCTTCTTCACACTTCCCAATACGCTTATCCAATGCACTTCTAATTAGCTAATTGTGCCCACATTGATCCAATTAACAAGCCATAAAGATCTGAACAAAAGGAGCATATTCTGCCCAGTGGAGACTCCATTCAGCCACGCCAACACCAGACAGAGCAAGACGTGGAGGACAAAACCGAGGCCAAGGCACTTGGCCACCGCTCCCGAGCGTTTCGCCGGCGCTCGGGGATGCTGTGCTGAGATGCTCGGGGGTGCAAAACCCGCAGGCACCTACCTCTCCCTTTTAGGAGTGTGGACTGAGAGCTGTCCATTAGTTGAGGCGTGTGGGTTGATGATTAAGGAGGTCTTGGAGGGCGCGGAGGAGGAGACGCAGGTGGTGGACAGGTCCAGGCTGCTGTGGTTGTTGCTGGCTGCCTCCTCCGCTGTGTGCGAGCTTGTCACTTCCTTCCAGAGCTGCTGCAGTTCTGTTGGAATCATGCCTGAAACAAACAAATTGGATAATTAAATCAATTAACAGCTAATTCGGCCGTCTTCAAACAGTAATTAAATCAAAGAGTCAGTAAACAAAGCCTAGTGTTAGTTTTGCCTGTGTGTGTTTTTGCGCATGTATTTTTTTTTTTTTTTTTTAATAACTAAATGCTAATACTGCACTGCACGACACTGCTACGCTCTGGTGTGACACCTGCAATACTCATGGAATGCAAAATCCGGGCTGTGGGGCAGAGAGATCCACACAGCAACACACCCACACCAAGCATCATGTTAAATATTATAATTTTTTGTAATTTTTTAGACCAAAGACCCATTTTCAGAGTCCTTACTTGGGCAAAAATCGCCCCCACGCCCACAGCAAGGCTGACAGCAAAGGCAGCCACTGGCTACTCTATGTTCAGCTAAGAAATTAAATTTCTCTCTTTTTCCACAATTTTTTTGCCTTTTTTTTAAGGAAAGTGACTACTTTCTAACCTGTTATTAAAAACAAGGAAGGTCTTGGGGAAAAAAATACTCAGCTTTATTATTATGACAACATGAACCACAACATGACTAATTCTGTGCTTAAGTTTTAAATGATGACAAATAGCTTTGTTATTAAATACAGTTTTTATTAATCACTTTTAGACGTAAATTATGAATTCATATTGTCTTCCTGAAATGCTTTTCAAATTTTAACAGTCAAATTGATTATACTATGATTATTTCATTAACACACCTATCTTTCTCATTAATTTTGGTTTCTCGAACTGCTCACTTAATTGATGGATGTGTCTACCGAAAAACTGTATAACTTTCTATACAAGTAACACTATTATTACTGTCATTTCTTAGATCGATGCTAATGAGCCATTCAAAAGTAAAATGAAAACAGAAAGTAAGCTTGAAGAAAAAATAATAGTAAAAAATTGTGTTCTTTAAAATGTGCCAAAGTGGACACCAGAGTTAGGAAGACAACATCCAGCAACTAATGCAAAGGAAAGCTGGAAACTCCAATGGGCCAAATGGAAGGTGAACCATGTGCTCACGCTGAGATCATGCTTTTGGATAAAGCTGATGTTTGTGACATGATCCAACAAGTCAAGTTTCTCTCACTGCAGACTATTTCAGTGCTCTTTCAGAGAAGGCCATGGGAAAAAATTAGCAGTAGAGATACGTCACTCAAATATTCAGGGAAAAAATAATAATAATAATAATAATAAGCCAACGTCTGTGTGTTTTTAAAGAGGTTTCTCATCAGTGTGCTTCCAGCTCATCGTTTGGGTGAGTGTTCATTGTTTCACCATGTTGTAGCTCTGGAGCTATCCTAAGGAAACCTGCCATTTTCTGAGTGTACAGCAGCAGCTCACACAGGCATGTACCTCACCCAACCTAAGGTATTGAAATAAAAAAAAAAAAGGCAGTGTGCATTATATTCATTTGAAACACATAATAAAAAATGCCAAGGTCTAAATTTAATTTATTTTTGTCATTTAGAATACAATGGATAGATAATCATCTCAACGTGATCAGCCAAACATCTTTACTTTGCTAAACTGTTAAAGATTTTAATTATGCTAGCTTTGGAGAGCACTGGTCTAATGAGGCGATAGACTCCAGAGAATCTAAGTGGTTAAGAACTGTGAAATGAGTCTGATAGGATTTTTTTATATTCACCGTGGATCGTTTGCATATCAAAGAGGAGTAAATTATTGCACGACAGACCAATAACCTTCCCCGCCTTTCCCAGAGTAGCATTAACAAAAACAGTTGGTCTCCGGTAACGGTTCACTACAAAAAAATGCTGAAATCCTTAAGTATCTGCAATTAATATATATTAGGGAAGAGGCTTCAATTTATACATTAAGTGATCAGATATTCTTAGGACACATCCGTTTCTTTAAAGCCACGTCGTTTTCCTTTCATCAGCCCCAAATGCCAATTATATTTTGATGGATTTTGTCCCAAATGAGCATTTAGTTATTAGACATATTCAATTATTACTTGTCCCCTGGAATTAAACCTCTGAGCAAATTAAACAAAGAAAAAGGTCAGTACACAAGCCCGTGTCCTGTTTTGCTGTGTGGGGGCTATTATTTTCAAACACCTTGTGAAGTGACAGTGTGGGATGTATTTTTAGCTAACACGCTTGACAGGACTGTCTGCACACTAACAATTACCTGTGAGCAGGGCTGACCCTTACACACTGTTTACTCAGTTGAAACAATAGTGAATAGACTTGTCTGTTGATGATAACATATTGATATGAGAACATATGAGCCGACACCTATTTTTATTTTCCAGAATAAGCAAATAGGGAAAGAATAACTGGCCTTCTTTAATTTTCTTTTTTTTTTTAATCTGGATTTCTGCAGGTTTTAATTAGACACAGGCTATCATCCATTCTCCTCTCCCTGCTCTCCACTTTCCCCTCCTCCTGGTCACTTCTGGATCTACCAACGCTTTGTCCCAAGGAAAAGCCTGGAAGTGTTACAGCCATTAAAACAGACATACACATGATATTTATGCCTCTAAAAGTCAAAGTGTTTGGTCTAACTTCCCATACAAGTGTAACTCCCATTAGTACTAACAACAACTACACCACAGATGGAAAGAAAAATAAAATATATAAAATAAGTAAATATATATATAATATAATATAATATAGAAAATAAAATATATCCAGTTGTGTGGGGGAAAATGCTGGAGATACTAAGGATTTTAGGCAGGGTGACATTAATTTAAAGAGCTAACTGTGATGTCATACATGTCCACACACAACCCCTTGCCAAAAATTGATTACATCACCTGATTAATAAAATAAAATTAGAAATAGCCTCTCTCCTCCTGCCTTTAATTTAGTTCATTTAGAATAATTCTGGAGAGAATTTCTGACTAGCCTGTCAAACTGGGCAGCTGAAAGGTACGCTCATCACTCATCCAGCAAAATGGTTAAATAAAATAATAGAACAAATGGCAAAAGCAAGTCAAATAGATCCACGACCACTCGCAATAAATTATGTAATTTACCATTTAACAGTCTCATTTTAACAGCGAGAGCTAAATTTCAAGTCAGATTCCCAGAACTGAGCTGCAATTACCCGAGATCACTGCAACTTCCTATGGACCAGGAACGGGATCCAGACCTGAAACTGCCAAATCTACGGGAGCAATCAGGCACCCGGATGTCTCAGTCCTCTTATTTTCACTCGCTGCTGATCTGAAGTGTGATTTGCAGCTTCATTTCGAAGATACTAAAGATCTCACTCTCGCAGCTCAGAACACTGCTGAAATGGGGTTTATTTTAAAATTGCTGCTATGCACAGATGTAAAATCTAGATTATAGAAGTGTCTAAATACTAAGCAGCAAAGATTACACAAATATAACATTAAAGGATGTGCTATTTTGTTTGAGACAATAGGCGAGCACTAAAAACTAAAATGAAACTAAAATACAGATTTAAACAATCTATTAGTTCTGAAAACATAACGAAAATGTCACTTATGAAGTAGCGTTCTCTCCTTGGAAACATTTATTATTATTACAGATACTTAAGAATAAAAGCAATATGCTTTAAACTGAATTCACAGCTACATTTACTAGAGGGATGATTTTATTTCTTTTATACACACATTTACAGTATTTGTCTCAGTCTTGCAAACTGTTCCGAAAACAAAAGGGCACGAGAGATTTAATTTTTTTTTTTTTAATAAGAAGCATCCATTACCAATTATTTTAAACTATAGCCCTGGCTCTTCATTGCATTTTTCAGGACAACTAGCCCTCTTGATTATGAAAGAAAATGTAGGCACAGGTTTAAAAAATGTATGTTGTGGGGACAGTTGACAGATTACTGCTCACGGAACTCAATTTCCCAACCCCAGGTATCACCGGCTCAAAGACAAACAGAGTTGCTCAACCTCTTTGTGTCCTTGTACCTCCATACCCAGGTGACCATGTTCAAGCAAGCAGAAAGTTGATTTAAACCTCATAATGACATCAGTTTTAAGCCACCGTCTCTCTGATAAAAAGGAATAAAATATCGTGCTGGATTGCAACCCGCCTCAAGTCTCCAGTCCCTCTTTCCTGCCGGCTCCCGCCGCCCCCAGCGCTCGCAGCTCATTTCCCTGCCAGAACCAGCCCTCTCTGCTTATGTTTGTGTGCAAGCCAGCACCCCTCAGGTTTTAAATACGCTCCTGGGCGAGGACTAATAGTTACACTTCCCTGCTAACCATATCAATCAATGCCACGACGGCTGAATTACCTACTGGTGTCTCCGATGTGTTACCGCACAGATTACACTTCATGCATCACCACATTCATTTCTTTCACATTACACATGAGCGTGTCTTGTCACTGCCCAATTGCCCTCCTTTGGACAGCTTAACTGATGGACTATACAATGAACCTTACTGAGCCAACTTAATGGTATAGGAGCTGTGGGAAAAATTAGCAAGGTTGAAGCTTTAGTCCGGTGGGTGTGTGGGAACAGCCTGGGATGCTTCCAACAGTAAATCTGAGGTGTAATTAATGCACGTTACAACATCTTGCAAGCATAAATGGCATTTCATCTACGTGCCCTTTTTCCCTGGACTCATTTTACACCTTCTCCCCATCACTCTGCATCGATGGTGATTGCCCCAAGCATGATCCTGCAGCTCCCACCTTTCCATGCATCAGCCTCCAACTTCTGTACAGAGCTGCTCTACACCAGGCATCCAGTTTTGGGATGCTGGGAAGTTGAACTGAGACTTGGGGGGTCAGGGGTCAGGCCCCCAAAAGCTCAGCCTCTCAACACAGGAGTTAAGCACTCAAATACCTTCCCGGGTCTGGCAGAAATAAGCCTAAATAAAGCATGTCAGCCACACAGCAAAGCAGACTCCACTCCCCACTTGGGCCTCTGTTTATCCATGTAAGTTAATATTCACCAGTCACCTCATTCTCCTTTTTTGCAGCTATGTATACAGAAAAAAAAAAGGACGGTGAATAACAGAAGCAATTTCGTCTTGTCCCCTCCATTTAGGTGAACAGAGCTGAATGCAAATTCACTGTATGATTTAGAAACTAGGAATAGCCCTAAGGCTGCTTTCGAGATCCCAAATCATTCTACCTGGGCTGACTCAAGCTATGAAGGTGAATGTTCAAATTTATTATGGGGCAAGAGAAGAAGAAGGCAGGATTATTCAGAAATAATAACCAGCATCATGGTTGATGCCATGGCATGTATGAGCCATACCAACCCAAAACAGTCTGCTTTAACCACAGCAGCCAGAGCTCAGGCAAATCTGTTAAATTGTCCCACGGCTTGCAGACAAACCCAGTTTAAAAAGTAAAATAATAAATTTAAGCCAAAAAAGAGAAGAGAGAATAAAAACCCTAGGTTATAATCACTGTCAAAAGTATTGTGGATTTAAGTAGTGCTTTCAGTGTATCAGTGTCTTAAAAAAATAAAATAAATTGGGATTTCAGCAAAGCAGTAACTTCTTTCAGAGTGCAGGACTGAATAAAGACGTAGGAGGATCTAATTGTCAATAACACCATTAGAATTAAATGGAATTAATCCCAATTTGCCTCAGTACGGAGGAAGGAACAGAAGCACCAAGGCAGTGACATGAAGGCTGTGGAGAGCAGCCGTGTCCCCTCTCCCTGGCAGCCACAGCCAAAGGCACTCAGAGTTCCCCAGCCTGCGGGTCAGAGCTGCTCTGTGCCAGCTCATGGCCAGGCTGGGACCAGGAAGGCCCAATCAACACATGGTGGGAAAGGAAAAGCTGCTCTCACACACCCTTAGCCCTGAAGCCAGCACCAGCAATCCATAAAGACTCCTCCTGTGCAGGATTCCAAGCCCAGATGAGCACAACCAGCAGCTCTGAGTCTGCCAGACCGGCTACAGCTGTGCAAACTGCATGTGAACTCCGAGCCCTCTGCACCCCACCAGTCAGAGCAGCCGGGGATTGCAGCACTGCCCTTCTCAAAAAACACCTTTACAATGCCCACCCTCCCCATCAGCATCTTTCTGTGCTTATTATTTTATGAGCCTGTGAGCTCTTTCTCTCTCTTCCCCGCCATGTGACAATTCTATTTGAGTGTGCACACCCTCAAACCCCTCACCTACCTTGTGCAAGGGGTTGCAAAGGCAGAGTAGGCTGCCCGGGCTGGATGGTCAGCAGCCCCTGACGCTGCAGAGACAGGAGGTGCTGCTGCTGCAACTGCTGCATCTGTAAGAGCTGCTGCTGGAAGGCCAACTGCTGCGTGGCCACTTGCTGCTGCTGGGGCTGGAAAAAAACAAAACGAATTAAAATTAAAATGCACCCTTGTTAACGCAAGAGCAAAGCAGAGGATTTACAGGACGCCTTGTCTCAACTTGCTTCAAATTCTGACGGCAGCCACTCGGTATCAAGGCCAAACCAGTGAGCCCACCACCCCTGGCAAAGACACCAAGGTATGTTTAGATGCTGGACCTAATACAGGGCTGCAGATTCCTATCTCCAATGGCTAACTTTCACCCAGCCTAAATCCCTGCTGCCACCCCAACTATAAATGTATACAGCATTTTTTTATCCATGTATTCATATTTTACCCCAGACGTGGCTGTGTTTCAGCGGTGAGTAAAGCAAATGCTGATGAAAATCTTGGGTAATTCTTTGAGGCAAAGAATATGAGAATCACACCCCATGATCACATCACACTTAGATGTAACAAGAAACCCTGCACTGTGCTCTGTTTGCTCATTCAAGGTTTGTCTCAACTATTAAGGCAATTCGACTGGCTTAATTTATGGTATTTTATACTCACTCTCTCTTCTTCATCCATCAAGCCCCACAATACTTTCTGTTGCACTGGAATTATTCTGTGCTGTATTTAAAGCTGCTACTTCTGCACTTTGAAATTTTTAATTATTCTCACTAGAAAGAAGATGGAGTTGCTTTACTCCACAGGGATGTGAACCTTGAACCTTCGAGGTGTAAAAGAACATGTTGCTTTTCTCACTACTGTACCCGGAGAAGCTTTTAACTACTCTGTTTATCACTTCTGACATAAATAAATGAGAAAAAATCAGACCTTTGAAGAAGAAAAACTTCATCTAATATTGTTAATTAGCCATGACAAACGATGAAATAACATTGTAAATCTTTCATAGAAACAGCCACTAGATTTTAATTACACACATTCATAATTTAGCAAACAACATCTTACTTGAATGTGAGTGTTTAATATGTACAGTACTCGAGGCTTCAGAGTCCTTAATTTTGTTCAGTTAAGGAAGCCTCTAGGTTTTGCTTCCATGCTCATCTTGTATTTTATTTGCTTTGTTCTTTAAAATCCATGAAAGGCTTTGCATTTTGATAAATATCTTTTTATTTATTGTACAATGACAGGAGGAAAACTTTTGTTGTGTAAAACATCAATACATCATGCCAGTGTTTAGCAGTTCCTTGTGCTAGCCAAAAAAAATTAATGTAGATTTCCTTAGTAATTATCTGAGTGATAGAAAGATAATACAGTGCAGTAGTACAATAAATAGAAGGAAATTATCTAATATCCCTAATCTGCTAGGAATCATATCAAGGTGGAGGTCTTATACACATTATGGCTAACAATTATGGAAAGAAAATTAACTCTTACCAAACTGCACACTTTCACAAACAAAACCCAGACAGATCCCGAGATTTCTGTCACCCTTCCTTGACACCAAGCCAGAGGATCACTGACCCCATTCCCTACTGGTGTTACACAGGGAAAAAGTCCCACCAGAGCTGCTGGACAGACAGACTGACAGACACCAACCGAGGGTTTGACCCACCACGCCCCATCAATCCTAATACTGTGACTTTTTACCCGCAACTCTGAGAGTCAGCCACTCCATTTATCTTATTATAAACTCAGTTTATCTTATTTCCAAAGAAAACCTTGGACTTCAGGAGCACATCTAAACAAATAGGTGTTTGGATATTCTGAAACTCAGAGAGTTTACATTTCTTTGCAACAGCTTGCTCTGACACATCCATTTGTTGCAACTATTTGCAACAGCACCATATGCATGCAGGCCCCAGCAACAGTTGTGCTAAAGTAACGTTTGACTCCATAAATATTAATTTTAAAATATATATACTTAATGTGTTTATACTAATATATTTATATTATTAGTACTAGGTGTAATAAGCTGTGTTTTACCTATTTGCCATAAGAGTGCAAAGCCAGCACTTGGTTGTTTTTTTTTTAAAAACCTTTATATCAATTGACTGATGCCCTTTTGGTTGTCTTCTCAGCTATCCTAAGAAAAGCTCTTGAACACACTCTACTTTGAAAAGCCAGGATATAAAAGTATACAAGGCCCATTGTCCAAGAAAGAATTTAAAAGCAAGACACGTTGCCAAACTGCGCTCCCCACCCAGTTACCAAACACAGGATACAAGGCAGTTTGTTTACTTCTCACAATTGAATGCATACAAAAAAGGTCTCGGTGCAGTCCTGTTGTCAGGTCAGTAGTCAGTGTTAAAATGCTGAAATATCCTGATAAAACTTGCATTTTTGATCCCCTCCCTAAAGCTTCTGTCAAAGGTCTATTTTCCTTTCTTAGGTTCCTCCCTACTGCCTAACATAAACTGTCACAGTGCCGGAGGACAAACGGCCGCGCTCGGGAAACTGCGCGCTCCGTCCAGCAGGACCCTGAGCACTCCCCTGCCTCTGGGGAGCCCTGAATTTTCCAAGGGAGAGCAGGAACAGGGCTGAGATCTCCCCCAGCACCTCTGCCCCTCGCTGCTGGGCACTGCTCACCCTTTGCTACGCCGCGTAGCCCCCGAGTAAAACCCCCCTAGAACCTCGCCGGGGTCCGTCTGCTGCTCTGCTCGGGGGTCGCGTCCCTTTCACCAGCGGGGCTGGGGAGGTTTGTTGTGTTTTCCTTCTTTCAGCACGGCACAATAGGACAAGGCGCTCACAGAATGACTTGGGGGATGCCGTACATGAATACGCTCGTTCCATCTGTCAAGGTACACGCTCAGCCCTCGTTAGCACGGCAGCCGCCGGCCCCCACCACCGCACTGCCCGTCAGTTCGCAGTGACAGAGGGAGGGGGAAGAAATAAAATAATACAAGACCACCTTTTCTATGCTAATTTAGCAAGAATAACCTCCTTAAGCTGGGCTGAACAAACCTGTGGGGTGAAATGCATTGTTGAAATGGACCTCCACTAAAACCATCAGCAAAAATACTCCCCCCCAAACCCCTAGAATAAGCTGAAGAGAGTTAGGTCCTTGTTCTCTTTCCAGCTATCGTGTTAAAATGCTCTTCTTGAAACAGGAAGGAGTCCTTTCTTATTGTTGCTTTCGCTAGTGTAGTATCAGAAGTGTGACCACAGTAAATCAGTGTGTTAGATATTGAAATGCCATCACATTGTCTAACTTCCCTTCTTGTCTTTTTTAACACAAAGTATTTTTTTCTTTAAGCTCCAAGCCCTCATCTTTGTGTCTGAGATGCTCTCCTGTCTGACAACAGCAATTTAGAAGAGTTAACTTTTATCGTTCATTCTGCTGTGTAACTTTCCCCTTCAAATTTCTTTATCTGCCCTCTGAGCTCATCTGAACTTTCATGTTCTCCCAGCATGCAGGCTTGCATTCAAAACTATGTCTAATAGACCAAATAAGAGGTTAATAAGAAGTGGCAACAGAAAGAAAAAATACAATCCCTGGTAACTGATAAGAATGACAGTGGCAGCCCTTTATTGTTTGTCTTCAAATATAGAGTTAAAGATCTTTAAAAAACTAAATTTTGACGCCTTTGAAAAGAAAGAAGCACAAAATAACAACAGGGGGTTATTGCCTGCCAGCCACAGGGGAGAAGCTCCATAATTCTTATTCTCCCTTTTGAAGGCTGTTAGAAATCTGATTCAAAAAAGCAACAGCAGAAGGAGAAAGCCTCTTGAGGCTATCGCCATTTCCTGTGATCATGCATAATGCGTTTCAAAAGTGGGTTTTTACCAATTCTGTTGATCAATTGCACCTCCTTCATATTCCCTCTTTTTTCTGCTGTGTTTACATCTGATGTGACTCAATGACAAGCGCTGTCTGAGACTGTGAAACAGACCTGTCATGTTGATTTATGGGCGCATCAAACCACGACTTGTCCAAACTGAAGCTCGCAGTTCATTAATTAGAGAGTTGTGACTTTGAAGTCAGCTTTCAGACTGTGGTTTTTAACATTTGGCTTAATTTATATGCTCTTGAATGTGGATCTCTAAGGAAAAAACTGAAATTCCCTTCTTGTCTTTGAACTTCTTTTGACCGCACAATAATCATTTCTTTGTCCAGAGTGATGCCTGCATCCCAGAGTCATTAACGCGCATTGAACTGCCACTGATGAGTAAGCCCTACTGAATTAGAAAAACAGCCAGCAAAACAAAGCTGAGAGCATTCTGCACAGTGATATCTCACAATTACATGCCTTCCCTCCCTGTGCCATTTCCATTTTAATTACTGTTAGTCCTTTAGATTTACATTTTAGACACTTTTTAATCTGTTCCCTTTTTATTATAGTGGCGCCCGTAAGCGCGCTATGGTTAAGGTTGTGTCAGCGTTTCCATTATAAACCCCCCTGTTTTCAGGGGTTTATAACTCAGCTGGAAAAATTCACTCTGGGTTGAAACTTGGCACAGGTGGCACGATTTGCCGAAATTTCAAGGGGAATGGGGAGCAGAAATTGGTGCGTGCTTCGAGCAACACCCCTTGTCAGGCGACAGGAGAGCCACCGCTGTCACCGGACATCAGCCAGTGTCCCGCGCCAAGAGGCAGCTTTCTAGGATCTATCTAAGCCAGCATTGATTCAGATTAAACAGGAAAAGTCCCAAACTCCTCCAGACTTAAGAGCTGGACTCAGCACCTTAAAATGTAATTGCAGGAAAATTAAATTTAAGCACACCAAAAACAACGAACAAAGTTCCAGATGTGACAGGTATTTTGGAAGGGAAATGTGTCTGAAAGACAGGCAGAAACCACCCTGGTCTGTGCCCTCCGGTTATGGACTGTGGTAGCATCAGAGCAAGGTCTCCTGCCACCTCTTCTCCGTGTCACCACTGATGCTGCTCCAGTGTGGTCCCTCCTGCTCAGCCCATGCTGTGAGGAATGTGCAACCAGAACCTCTCTGGCTGGGAAGTGCAAGCTCAAACTCAACACCTCTCAGCATTCTGCTTTGTTTAGAGAGGACAGCAGCGATCTGGGCCTGCTGCCTTGCCCCCTCCCCTCTCCACCATAACTAACTCCTCAAAGTACTCCCCCAAGATGCAAGTCTAGATGCCTGCTCCAGGACTCATACGGAACAGCAAGGCCTGGTCCCCTGCTATAAAATATGTGGCAGTGAGCAAATGGAAAGCACAGGAAAACACAGGCGAAAACAGGACAATAACTCTAAATCTGAAAGCTGAGGCCCGATAGAGTCAGTTCAGTTGTGCAATCATTTATAAGATGAATGACAGTTTAATAGCCACTAGACAGTCCCCAGGGATCTGTGGTTTGAAAGTAAAATGGGTATTGTCTGTACCTCTTTAGGCTGTTTTCCAGCATGTTGTTGCTGTAAAAGTTGAAGCTGCAACTGTTCCTGTTGTTTCTTATAAAACTCTTGAAGCTGCTGCTACAAAGAAAAGGAAAGATGGTAAGTAACAAAGTGGAGAGCCAATTCAGTGTCCCTTTTGGTGTAACACACAAACTGTGATTTGAAAAATAGCATCCTTTTATCTGTAATGGTCTGACCTTTAGTTTGAAACTCAACAATAAATTCAGTGCACACTGACTATTCTTGGCATTATCGTTTGAAAAGTAATCTCCAAAATGAACTGATGAAAAACATACCATTTTCTACACAAACTAATTAAAATAAGGCAAGGAATGACCTTTGATTGTAACAACAAAGCCAAAATGCCCTTGCTGAGAGAGCCTGGCGAATCTCTGTTGTGAAACACACATGCTTTCTAAATGATAGGGTTTGACTGTATTAAGTGTTGTTCAATACATGCATAGACATCCTGGGAAATACTCTCCTCCTCCCGTTCCCCAGATGTGCCCTGTGCAGGCAATGCTGTGGCCACGGGCAGGACGGAGCCTGGGAGCCAGGAGGGAGCAGGCAGGGTCGAGCTGGGTGGATGCTGACACCCACCTGGGCTCTCTGAGACCCCACTGTGCCAAACCCTGTGATAACAGAGCCTCAGGGCTTGTTGGTGGCCAATTTCCAGCTGAGAAAGGACCATGGGCTGTGAGAAGCACTGAAACACAGCCCAGCATATGTTGGCTGAAATCAAACAGGCTTGCAAACCTCTCCACTTCTGCTTCCACCGTTTCCACAGCCCTTTATGGTTCCAGATGGAAATAACGAGGTCTAAATTGGGAAGTATGGCCCTTCTACCTTGTTTATTCCAATTAGTCACGGCACACCAAGCCTTCTGAGGGATGCAGGCAAAAGCAACAGGGACATCTGCCGAAGTCCTGACACTTAAATATGCATCTGTATTATTTAGCTGATCTTGGAAACACTCCTAGCACTGCTCCCTGGATTTGTTTCCAGTAGCTATTTCTAGAATTAAAAACAAAAGAGCAGTCAGTTCAGCTCACAGCATGGCTGCTCCAAGGTTTAGACCTGAGATGTGGGCAGCTTCTTTCCCCAAGGGTGTTCAGGAGGTAAAGCCTCCAGCATCCATAGGGGCCACCTGAGCAGCTGTTAAGGAAACAATTACCTGTTGAAGCATGAGTGCCTGCTGCTGTTGGAGCAGGACTTGGAGTTGCTGGGGAGTTAGCACTTGTTGCTGGAGGATCTGCTGCATTTGCTGGGGAGTGATCACTTGAGGTGTCATCATAGCCACCGACACTGGAACCTGAAAGGCCAAGAGGACAGAAAGAGGGTCAGGTCAGAGCACATCCCCACAGCTCCTCCAGCATCCCCATTCCAGGGAAACCCATTCCTGGCATCAAGGGGGCTGAAGATGAGAGTCCTTACAGCCCACCCTGGCTGGCACACAGGTACTGACCACACCTTCCCAGTGGATAAATTCCCCTTTTGTAAAACACTACTGGATGGAAATTCCTTAAAGCAAGTAATATGATAATGATTTATTTATTTTTACAAGAAATTGTCCAGCTGGGTCCTTTCCCTCCCAGAAAGCCTTGCCTTCTGTAGAGAAATCCAACAGCCAAATATCCCGTGCTGATGAGATCTAGACCCTATTACGACAGGTTTTTCAGAAAATTGAAGGAAGGCTCAGTGATGTGAATAACAGCACTAGACTCCTATGCAATTTTTACAGAAAGGCCCTACCACGATGTCTTTACCATTCCATATTCACCCAGCATACAGATGTCTTCAATTCTTTCATATTATGTGAGATACCATTAAAAGCCGCTTTCCATGACATTTCAGTGACAAACAGCTACAGTGATGAACTTGATAGCATTTCATATTTGCAACTGTTAACACGTTTCTGCACGGGCATCTTTGCAAGGAACCTGTACACTGTATCTGAAAGGATGATGTCTTGTTCAGATAAAACACTGACATTAAAATGACAGGCTGTCTTGGCCAAGGTTACACAAATTGTATTCAAGCGGATACCTAATGACAATGCTATGAATTCTGCAAGCTTTCTAGAATGTAATTTAGCTATTCAAAATAATCACTGCACTTGTGTTTAATTTGCAGACTACATGAGAACCATTTTGTCAGTCCCAGTAATGCAAGAAGACTATATCCCTAGAAACCCACCCCTCTACCCTCCACCTCAAAAAGGAAAAAAAAAAGGAGAGAAAAAAAAAACAATAGAAGAAAAGACAAAACCCATATGAGTTTTAACAGTAATATTGAAGCACCTTACTTTTCTATAGTTTTAAATCAAATACATGACAGCACAAAACTAAAAGCAGTAAAGGATATACTTTGCTAAAAAGGATCTCCTGTCATCTCATGTATTACAATAAAAGGTAATAATATGTTTAGCACTTTTTCTGCGAACCACTTTTTTAAAAAAATCAGCAGACAATAGCTGATCAGAAGATAAAGGAGTTAAAAAAAAAACATCCTCCAGTGTAGTAGTAAGCAAGAGAGAAATGCAGTATTAATTTTATGTAACATAATGTCTTAATATGCAGTTTATCTTGACTTTTTCACATGATTTGTCCTGTCATTTGCATAGCAAGCTCTCATTCCTAATTTCACAGTCATTATGCACTGATGTCCTGATTTCTCAGCATCACTAATCTTGATGAACTAAAAATGGTTCCTGAAGGTCAGACGCATGTACAGTGCACATCTCCCCGTGTTGTTGTGTACATGTCGTGTGCCAGGGCCAGACGCTGCCTCCAAAACATCTCCCTGGGCAGAGCCCAGCGAGGGCTCCACGCCTCTGACATCCCATTAGTGCCGACATGGCGAGGTCCTCTGAGCCCTCCCTGTGGCACAGCACGTTCCCACACCACTGATGGGGTCCAGCGAACGCTGGCAAAAGGAGATTTAATTACGGGACAAACATCAGAACCACCAGAACCAGGGGACATTCTTCCACGGCCGGTGCCACATCCCTGTGCCCATGGGAAAGCCACCACCTCGCCATGCAGGACCAGCTCTAAGGACACTGAGTCATCAGAACGAGTAATCCCATTAATTCAGAATATCTTAATCCACGGTCTTTTAAAAACTTTTCTGGGAGTAGAAAATTATTTAATTAAATCCTGCCGTCACTATCTTCGCCCCAAAGCGTGACTCACCTTCATTATTCTCATCCCTAAAGAAGTTTACTTTACCCTGGGGTTTGTACTACTTCTCATTGAAGCTGGACCAAGCAAACAGAAGAGGAAGCATGTTTAAGTATGTTTTCTGTGCCCTTCTTGGAAGATAGACAAGACAAATACTCTTCAGTCAGATTTATGACGACAAGCAGGGATACAGACAGGAATAGGGTGGGGTGCTGTAAACCCTACACATCGGTGATTAATCCAAAGGGCTGCATTCTGCCGTCAGCTGGGCAGGGACAACTCCCATTCACTTCCATGGCCTTTCTGCACGTTTATCTTGGGACAGATCTGGTGATTAGGCTCTGTCTTTGAAAACTGGCCATGTACCTTCCAGTAACAAATCTCTTAGCTGCACACTCCTTGCTAGAACAGAAGCACTTAAGCAGAAAGAAAAAAAAAAAAATCGTGTATGTGCTGCACACAGCCACAGAGTACCAGTACACAGAGTACAAGTTTGTGTCGGTCCGTTTGACTTCGTTTTACCATGTGAAACCACATTTTCACACCACACCTGCGCTTCTAAAGAAGGTGCTGCCTTCCATTTATAAACACAGCCACGTTTAGCCATGGCCTGCATTTTAGTTCATCATGAAAACAGCTTACAGAAACCCTGCACAAACGAATTCAAATGAACCAGAAACTATCTGGTTAAAAATTACAACACACATCCCGGACGACCGTGGGCACACACGTACGGTCTGAGGGACTTTAAATAGTTAAGAATGATGGCCTATATATCCACTCTCTTAACTCCCAACGTCCAACTTTTCCATGTAGCTAGTCCCTGGTAATACTAGGAATCAAAGGGCATGCAGCACCAGCAATAGGCTATTATAGCCCACACTTTATTACCCATTACTACCGAGGTCATTAGCGGTAAGAGTGATTGTACCGGTCTTAACCTATTGATCATTGTAACTACTATCATTTAATCCCGTGTTGAATGTCTGGAAAGCTGCTAAAGGCACACAAGAGAGAGTGCTTTAGTGATGAGAAATATAGCCAAAGCTTGGAAATTACACTTTGATTCATAAAATCTAGCCAGTGGTTTAAATCAATAGTATTTAAAACAGTCATGTAAGTTCTTAACTACAGCTCTCTAATATTTATAGGTCCCTTTTTGAGTGTATTCAGTCAAAACTAAACTTTATTTTAGATACTGTGCAATATACTTTACATTATGTTAGATAAAAAATATTTATTTCTGATATTTTGTCTGATAGTAAGTGAAACCTAAACCAAGAGCTATAAATTCATTTTAGATTTCTATCTCTCAGATGTCAACTTAAATGTGTTGCCAAAAAAAATTACAAACCAACTTTAAAAATGACTTAACTGTTTAAGTACATGAAAATGAGCATGTTTTATGAGTTAACAATGAATCACAGAAGGCAGTCTATGAAGAACTAAAATAATTCTGTCTTACTGCCTTCAGGGAGTTGAAGTTCAAATTAAACTACTGGCAGATATATTTAAAGAATGCTAAGTTAGCATGCAGAGAAGAAATCAATCTTTTATTTTTTCTTTCAAGTTGTTTATTTCTATTTTGCACTTGAAACATGATTGTTGTTATTGATATGATTAATGAACTACTTTTGGTATTGTTGACTGATAACAATAGGGTGTGGTAGATACCCAGCTGCATGTAAACCTGGCAGCAAAGGTAAAAATACAGCTGCAATTTGGCTTTGGGAGCTGTGCTAGTATGGACCTGCTGACATGCTAATACCATCAACGGCAAAAAATGTCTTTAATACTCACAATTGTCTTCACTCACTGTTTCTCCCAGGGTTTTGCTTCTGCTCCTCCGCATCCCCCGAAGCCCTCCCAGCCCCACAGTCCCATCTGAGACCCTCCCATTTCAAGCCCTAAAAATGCCCTATTTTGGCAAGACTAACCAAGGGAAACTTCCACAAACTTGGGCCAAGCTCCCCTTTAACTTCCCCACGAAATTACAGCAGGGATGCATTTGTCACTCCTCCACACAACCCAGACAAGGGTCACAGGGATGAAAATGATTTAGTCCTATTTAATCATATCCATTCCCTCATTTTCGGTGATATTAATATAATTAAATACTAGCTAAATAATTTCAAGTAGTTTAATCTTGTATGAAGGGAAAAAAAAAAAGGAAAAAAAAAAAAAAAAAAAAAAAAAGAAAAAAAGAAAAAAAAGAATGCCATTTTCACACTCGGTGCCTCCGATGCTGGATACGGCTGTGGTTCTGTTAACTGTTAGCAGGCATGCATGGAAGATGGGGAGGATTTCCTTAATTCATAAAGAGTAACTCTGCCAGAAAATCCTTTTCTCCTGCGATCTATGTTCAAACTTGATTTCAGTAAGCCCTCATACCAGGCACCTTGTATTTCCAAACAGCAATTCTTCGGTTAAAGATTTTGTGATAAAAGTTGAACGGAGCAAAACAGCTGAACACAGAAAAGAACAAGTCGCTGAGGAACAGTTAAAAATACTGAACTACAGTAAAAATAGCTATGGCCAGGCAAAACCAAACAATGAACTTGAGCTGTCCTATTAGCAAGATAGTATTTGCAATATATTTAAAATATATATAAAAAAAATCTAGCGAAACAATGCAAAACAGGAGAAGAGAGAGCACTGACACCCTGGCAAGCAGAGAGGCACGATGCCACAAGCCAGAGCAGAGCCCAGCAAAATAAGAAGTGCTGTAGGCAGGCAGGACCTGCTTCCATCCTGAGAATAAAACATTTCCAACATAATATTTCATCCTCCAAAATCCCAACACAAAAACACCACTGTCGGAATTATTCACGCAGGAACTGCAGTGCTGGTTCATTATGCAAAATGGAAGCTCACTTTTAGACTTAGTTCTTTTGCCATAATACAGCACAGCGCATTAAGACAGGTAATGTTTATTATATTAATGTAAAATCAGCTAAGTAGTCTGTCATTAGCATAACTGTGCTCTCTGTAACAATACAACTCCCTATTATAAGGGGGGGAACCTCCTTAAAATTAAATTAGCATTTTATTATTATAATTTTGTTTATCGTATTTTATCAGGAGCGAAGATCTCCTTCTGACCCACAGAAAGCAGAACGATGGGCTATGC